CGCACCCCTCCGACCCGACTTCTTTATTCTTTTGCATGGGGTGTTTAAAGCTCCGACTACTTTATTTCGACGCGGCACCCCCTCCCTCACCCACCCATTCCATCCACCAGCCAGCGCGCCAGCCAGCGCGACCCCGGCGCGCCACCATCCCCCCCGCTCACCAGCCAGCGCGCCCCCTCCGCCCCGACCCCTATGTCGGCACGGACCCCCCCCCATCCCACGCGCCCCCTCCGCGCCCCCCCACCCACCAACCAGCGCGCCCTCTCTGCCCCGACCCTGTTATTTCGGCACGCCCCCCCCCACGCCCACCAGGACCACCATCCCCCCACCAGCCAGCCAACGCGCCCCTCTGCCCGACCTGATCAACACCCCCCCAGATCAACACCCCCCACCCACTGGCCCGCCGCGCCCCTCCGCCCCGCCGACCGTTGAATTTCGGCAAGGCACCCTCATCCCGCTCGCCCCCTCCGCGCCCACCCCCCGCCCCGACATTTTTATTCCGGCACGGCCGCCCCCCCCGCCTCCCACGGGCGCTCCCTCCGCGCCCCCACCCGCACCCGCCAACCGGCCGCGCCTCTTCCGCCCCGACACTTTCATTCAAGCACGGCAACCCCCCTATCCCGCGCCCCCTCCGCATCCCCCCCGCGCGCGACCATCCAGCGTGCGCCGCGGTGCCTCCGCCCGCGCCCCTTCTATTTTGGGCGCGGCACCCTTCCCCATCCCCCGCGCGCCCCCTCCGCATCCCCCCAACCGCCCACCCACGCCAGCCAGCGCGCCCCCTCCGCCCCGACCCTTTCATTTCGGAACGGCACCGTCCTTCACAATCCCGCGCGCCCCCTCCGCATCCCCCCCCGAACACAAGCCAGCGCGCCCCCTCCGCCCCGATTTGTTTTAGTTCTCTTGCACAGGGTGTCTAAGAGCTCCGACCATTCTACTTCGGCACGGCACCGGGCGACGCAGCCCCTCGGCCCGCGCCTCACATCGCGGCCCCTCCACATCCACTTTCTAAAGCAGCCATGCCGGCAGCCCCCCGGCCATCCTTCTTCCCCCGCCAGCCACGCAGCCAGCCCGCCAGCCAGAGCGCCCCCTCCGCTCCGCCAGCCGCCCACCGCTTTCCGCCCCGATTTCGGCACGGCACCAGGCTCCGGACCCAGCCTCCTCACCTGGCCCTGGCCCCAGCCCCCCTCGCCCCGAAACCTTTATTTTCGTTTGTCGTGGTCCCCCTGGCCCTGGCCCTCGACCCAGCATTCACCCGGGTACTCGACCCAGACCCCCCCGTCGTCGCCACCCTGGTCCTGTCCTTGGACCCAGCGTCCTCCCCTGGCCATGGCCCCAGCCCCACTCTCCCTGGACCCTTCATATTCGCTCGTCGTCGTACCCCTGGCCTTGGCCCTGGACCCAGCCCCCCTCGCGCCGGACCCTTTATTCTCGTGATTCTGGCCCTGAAGCCAGCCTCCCTCCCTGACCTGGCCCCAGCCGCCCTCGACCCCTGGTCCTGGCAGTGGACCCAGCCTACCCCCCTGGTCGTTGCCCCAGCCCCCCTCGCCCCGCCGGCCCTGTCCCTGGACCCAGCCTCCCCACTTGGCCCAGCTTCGAAAATCTATCGCGCCTCAGCTGCCAACAAAAACTCATCCGAACAGGTCCAATCGACAACCGCTGATTCAGCACCCTGGCGCCCTGCCCCCACCGGCCCCTCCTCCTCCTCCTCCTCCTCCTCCTCCTCCTCCTCCTCCTCCTCCTCCTCCTCGTTTCCTTGATCCCCCCATCTGAGTCTCCCCCTCCTTCTCTCTTCATATGTGCAAGAGCCAGAGCACGCGTGCCACTTGTTAATCCCACCAGCCCTCTGGGCGTCGGTGGTTTAACGAGTTTCCTCTTCCACCCCTCCCTCTTCCCCTTCGGGGGGGGGGGGTACCCCTCCCCCTACCCCCTCCCCACTGACCTGGACAGGGGGTTCCGCGGCGCGTTGGAGCGCCCAAGATGGCCCAAGACGGCTCCAAGAGGGCCTCAGGGAGCCCAAGATACCCTCCAAGATGGCTCAAAATAGCGCAAGATGCCTCAAGATGGTCCCCATGATGTTCCAAGACGTTCCAAGAACTCTCCAAGACGGTTCCAAGTGCCCACAAGAGCATCATTAGGATGCATCCAAGAGGCCAAAATGCTTCAAAACCGCAGGGAAAATCACTGTTTTTGGTGTTCTCAATTTTTCGCTTGCGATGCACATCCGAGGCGTCAAGATGGCTCCAAGATGGCTCAAGATAGCTCCAAGAGGGGCCCAAGAGAGCCTCAGGATGGCTCCAAGAGCGCCGAAGAGCGCTCCAAGAGCGGTCCCAGAGCGGTACAGGAGACGATTTTTGGAGTTCCTGGGGGGGGCTCAAATTAAGGAACCCTACTTCCTTGACCGATGTCCTCCAAGATTGGCCCCAGGATGCCCCAAGAGGCCGCATGATGGCCCCAAGATGGCCCCAAGGGGCCCCCCAAGAGGCCCCCAGGAGGCCCCCAAGAGACCCCCAAGAGGCCCCAAGAGACCCCCCAGAGGCACCCAAGGGGCAAAGATGGCCCCAAGAAGCGCCCAGGAGGCCCCCAAAGGCCCCAAGATGGCCCCAAGAGGCCCCAAGAGGCCCCCAGGAGGCCCCAAAGAGGATCCCGAACGGCCCACAGAGGCCCCCCCGAGGCACCCAAGACGCCGAAAAGCCCCTCAGGACGACCCTCTACTCGCCTAGGCGTCGTTTCTGGACGGGCTGGTGGGGATACTTGTTCTTTTTTTACAGCCGCAGGCGGAAGCGCCGGCGGCAAGCAGTCACGGTCGGGCTGCGGCCGCGACTAAATTCCCGGGCGCGCGCGGGGGCCGCGGATCAGGCGGCGAAGGGGCGGCAAGCTGGTGGGGATACGCGAAGCGTCTAGAATTTTCCTCTGGTTTTTGAAAGGTGTTCGCATTCGCTTCTTCTCGGCTTTCCGACGATCCAAGACGGCCCCAGAGGCCCCCAAGATCGCCCCCACAGCGCCGAAGAGGCCTCCAAGATGGCCTCAGGACTGCCCAAGAGGCCCCCAAGACGGCCCCAAGAGGGCACAAAGACGACCTAAGAGGACTCCAAGACGCCCAAGATGGCCTCTGAGACAGCCCTGGAGCACCCCAAGAGGGCCCCAAGTCGGCCCAGAAAGGCCCCCCAAACGGCTTCCGACGGTGTCAGACGGGCCAGGGGCCCACCAAGATGGCCGAAGTTGCCTCGAAGCTGGCCCACGACGGCCCAAGAGGCCTCCAAGAGGGCCTCCAGGCAGGCCAGAAAAGGCCAAAAACATTTATTTTCCGTAGGTGTTCGAAGGATTTTGACAGTTGCTTCGTCTCGGCCTTCCGACGGCCCGATACGGCCCAAGAGCCCCCAAAGATCGCCCAAAGATCGCCGAAGAGGCCTCCAAAATGGCCTCAGGAATGCCCAAGAGGCCCCCAAGACGGCCCCAAAAGGGCACAAAGACGGCCCAGGAGGTTTTAAGACGCCCAAGATGGCCTCCAAGACGGCGCTGGAGCATTCCAAGAGGGCCCCAAGTCGGCCCAGAAAGGCCCCCCAAACGGCTTCCGACGGTGTCAGACGGGCCAGGGGCCCACCAAGATGGCCGAAGTTGGCTCGAAGCTCGCCCAAGACGGCCCAAGAGGCCTCCAAGAGGGCCTCCGGAAGGCCCGAAAAAGGCCCTAATCATTGATTTTGCAGGATCGTGGCATTTGCTTTTTTGTTCTGCCTTCCGACGGCCCGAGACAGCCCAAGTGCCCCCAAAGATCGCCCAAGAGGCCCAAGACGGCCCCAAGTGGCCCCCAAGACGGCCCGAGAGGCCTCCAAGACGCTCAAGATGGCCTCCGAGACGGCCCAAGAGCCCTCCAAGACGTCCTCCAAGAAGGCCCGAAAGGGTCAAAATGGCCTCCAGACGGCCAAGATGACCTTCAAGATGCCCACGTGTTCCCCGAAGGCTTTCCAAACCGATTCGGGGAACACATGGTCCGATAGCTTGGCAGGTCCGGCCTCAACGTTCGGCCACGTAGGCGCTTCCAAAAAGGCAGGGGGCGGCGGTGATTCGCCGTACGCGTCTTCGATCCGCCGCCACCTGTGGTCTTGCCACAGGGGTGCACTGCGTGCCAACCATCCGTAGAGGTGCACAAACTGCGCCCTCCATTGGCCCAAGCGCCCCCACGACGGCCAAGTTGGCCTCCAAGATGTCTCCAAGACGGCCAAGATGGCTCCAAGGGAGCCCGAGATGGCTCCAAGATGTCTGCAAGACGGTACCCAGATGCCTCCAAGACCGCCAAGATGGTCCAAGAGAGCCCAAGACGGCGCAAGAAGCCCCCAAGAGGCCCCTAAGACTGCTCAAGAGGCCTCCACGAGGTCCTCCAGGAATGCCCGAAGAAGCCCAACACCTTGATTTCCTGTAGGTGCTTGAAGGATTCTGGCGTTTGAAATCGGCCTTCCGACTGCCTAAGATGCCCCCAAGATTGCCCCAAGACTCCAAGACGCCCAAGATGGCCTTCAAGACGACCACGAAGCGCCCCAAGAGGGCCCCAAGACGGCCCATAGAGGCTCCCAAAACGGCTCCCGACGACGCCAGACGGGCCAGGAACGCCGTAAGCGGCTAAGAGACCCCCCAAAAGGCCCATGGAGGCCCCCAAGACGCGTCCAAGAGGCACCCAGGAACCTCCCAGAAAACCCCAAGAATGACCCCTGAAGCTCCCAAGAGATCTCCTCATCCTTCTCCTCGTCCTCCTCTTTCCTTCCTCTCCTCATCTTCCCCTTCCTTATCCATGTGTCCCCCGAAGAGCTTCCACAACGGCTGGGGGAACGCATGGTCCGATAGCGCGGCTAAGCTATGCCCAACAGTTTGGCTGCATAGGCGTATCCTAGAGGACAGGGCGCGGTGGTGATTCGCCGCAAGCGTCTTTGACAATTCTGGCGCCATGAAATACCAAGATCCAACATGCCGTGTCAACCGGGTTTGATGATCCTCCTGCGGAAGGTACCTGGCAAGCCCAAAATCGCACACTTTGGCATGTACCACATCAGCAACTGAGACGACAGGGTGCACTAGAAGAACATTCTGCGTCTTCAAATCTCTGTGCACAATGTGTTGCTCGTGCAAGAAGGCCATACCGTTTGCAATATCGAGAGCGGCCTTCAGACGCTGATTCCAGCTGAATCTACCAAGAGTGCGCTTTGGGCCCCCATTCGTGATGTCATACAAAGAGCCACCTGCACAGTACTCGACGACAATAGCGTATGGCAGCACATCAATGGAAGACTCAATGACTCTAATGAGGTTCGGGTGTTGTTGAACGTGGCTGATCTTCACCTCCCGTTCAATCATCTTGGGCGCCGCCATTTCACCATCGTTCGCAAGTCTCGGGCGGCTGTGCTCGACATTCAAAACCTTAACAGCCACAATTGAGTCCGCATCATGATCGCCGTTCGCTCTCCAAATTCCCTTGTAGACCTTGGCAAACGTGCCGGCGCCAACGAGCTGCAAGGAAGAGATGGGCATGCCCTTCTGGACGAGAAGCTCCTCAGCGTCCCAGACCTTGCCAGACTTCAACAGCTTCTGCTTGCTCGTTTTCGCAGACATTCCTCGCTCGACGAAACCCATGTCCTTCCTCTGCCTCGCCAAGCGTGCCTTCTCCAACTTCCGCTCCTCCCACTTCTTCTTGCGATCATCGAAGTTTTGCGGGACATTGCTGCCACCACCAACGTTTGAGCAGTCGCTAGCCAGATGGTCGAAACTGCCACCATTGCTGGTGTGAGAACCCGTTGTGACCGAAGTCCTTCTTTGAGCGGTGCGGGGCCGTCTCGGGGCCCGCTTGGGCACCATCTGAAGGATAACAACCTGCTGATAACCAGCAAGCTTGAACCATCATAGCTGCGGGGCCGTTTTGGAGACCTCCTGGGAGCAACCCTTGGGCCGTATTAAGCCCCTGCTGGTCCGTCTTGAAGCCATACTGGTGCCGTGTGAACCGATCGGGAGCGAAAAAGCGACTAAGGATGCAATCATAGAAACAACGATTGTGTGTTTAATCGTTTGCCGTATCGAGGGCAAGTCTGGGAGGACTCCGTCGCAACCTGAAGCTTGCTGGTGGCGGTCTGGAGGCCTCTTGGACGCCTGACCGAGAACCTCTGGAACCGAATTCTCTCGTATTGAAGCCCATCTTGGAGACCGTCCCCCCTTGCCTTGCCTTCAGAGGCAATGTTCAACGCGGCGCACGCAAGTCCCGTATAGCGAACTGGCCACAAACATTGAAACACAATTGAAATGATGTGCGCCTCTCGAGGATAGCTGGCCCTTGCTGGCTTTTTTGCAACTTGAAGGGGTGGCCTTCGTGGGGCTGTCTTGGGGGGGCCGTCTTGGGAGCCTCTCCGAGGCCTCTGGAGCCGCCTTGGGCTCCTCCTGGGCCATGCTTTCCCGCCGTCCTGCAAACATCCAGAAAGCTCTCATGAGAGCGTCGGAAGCGGAGAACAGAAAAGTGCCATAGCCCCGCACCTGCGAATACGAGCTAGGGGGCGGGAGGGCCGTCGGCAGTTCTTAAAGGCTCGGACCAAAGTTGAAGCCGTCTGCCTCAGGCGCTCATTCTTTAAAAACGTTGCACCGAAATAGACGAACGCGTTCCACTAGGCAAACATCGATGTTTTTCTGACGTTTGCGAGTGGGCACTCTGCAAGTGGTGGAACACGCTTGGTGGAGAAAGCCCGTGGCAGGCGCCCCTGACGTGTCGAAGATGTGTGGGCGGCTCGCGCTTGGATCTTCGAAGGCTGACGGGCCAGTCGCGCGGCGGGCCGCCGGCGGGTCCTGCGTGGGCCGCGCGTGCACCGCGGGGCGGCGATCGCGGGACGCGGAACGGCCGGAGCCCCCCTCCTGAGGGGGGCAGGAACCCTGCCTGATCTCATGTTGCTCCCATCGTGCTTAAGGACCACATCCCAGAAATAATTTCGAGCACCCAGAAAAGTGTCGAAACGGTGTGGAACAAGTGTCGCCTCCCAGGGCCCGACACGCCCCCCCCCCTCCAGTTTCGGTACTTTCGTGGTGTTCGAAAATCTTTTGGTGATCAAGGCTAAAGTAGGTTGGAACATCATAAGCCTGATCCCCGTACCCCATGCGGCCCAGGCCCATGCCCCCCCCCAACACCACAACAGCACCAGCAATGTTCGCGCTCACATGCTCGCGCGTCATTCAACATTTGCCTCGCCGAACCCTCGATGCAGGCCCTCTTCGTCTTTGATCGTACCCCCTCGGGGGGGGGGAATATCTTCCTTCCCTGCCACGTGTAATTCGCGCAGGCTGCAAAACAGGAAAAGGAGAAATCAGCCAGCCCCCTTCTGAGGCCATCCGGCTGCAGGACTGAGGTTTCCTGAAATGTTGCTCCACTTCCACCTCCCAGTGTCGAGTGCTGTAGTACACCTTCTCGCATCCTACAGTAAATTGTTACCGTTCGCGCAAAGGGGGGAGCCGAAAACCAGCCTGGCCACCATCCCAGGATCGCGTCCTCCACATTTTTTGGGGCCCTGGGACACGCAGAAATGTATGATATTCGCGGCCCCGAGGCAATACTCCTTCGTAAATTGATTACATCAGGCTCGCGCTCCCGAGGCCAGAATCCGTTCCACCTTACGCGTGATTCGCTCCAGAGGCCAGAACCATTACGAAAGTGAACCAAATTCGCGCTCCTGATAAATCATATGACACCGGAGAAAAAAAAAAAACATCCGATTTTTGTTGGGGCTATGGGGCTGTAGGGCTAGAAAGCTATAAGGTTATGAGGCTATAGGGCTATAGGGCTATTGGGCTATAAGGTTATAGGGCTGTAAGGCTGTAGAGCTATAGGGCTATAGGGCTATAGGGCTATCGGGCTATAGGGCTATAGGGCTATTGGGCTATAGGGCTATAGGGCTAGACGGCTATAGGGCTATGGGGCTATAAAACTATAGGGCTGTAGGGCTATAGGGCTATTGGGCTATATGCTATTGGGCTATTGGGCACCCCGGGCACCCGGCGACCCGGGCACCCGGGCCCGGCCACCGAAATCGGCGACCAACCTCACCGGCCACCCGGGCACACGGGCACCGCCGGGCACCCGGGCACCCGGGCACCCAGGCCCGGCCACCGAAATCGGCGACCCACCTCACCTAAACCTTTAATCCGCTAGGACCCCTAGAGGCAAGCTCTGATTGGGGAACAATTCAGACTCGAGCTCGCGAGGCCAGAAATTGTTGTAGGTCGGGCCAGATTCGCGCTGGCGAGGCGACGACCCCTCGCAACCCACATCAATCTCACGCCCCCGAGGCCACGATCCATTGTAAATGACATCGCGATTACCCGCCGTCCTCGCATGAGGGTCCAGCATTGCTTCACGTCGGCGCCCGGACATCCCAACATGGCTCTTTGTGCTTGTTTGTTTTGTTCCCCGCTCCGCAACGCAGCGAAGCCCAAGCCCCAGGCGGTGTGGTGAATACTGGAAGGCACGGTCCGCAAGGTGAGAAAAGCTGAGCGCCACGCGTGGGTGAAGGGGCCCTGGGACACACAAAGAAATACACACACGAATAACATGATTCCCCTATATTTTCCTATATTTTCTGGGTTTTTGTCTTCCCCCCACTTTCCATATCTTCCCAGGTTTTCCTGGGGATCGACGATTCATTGTGTCTCTGCGTGTTTTTGCTCCCTCCTGAGTGTGCAGCAGCAGCAAGAGCAGGGAGAGGGAACGGGGCGGCGAGGAGAGAGGAGGAATAACCGAGAGCAGCTCGGAGAAAAAAGCAGGCAAGCGAGAGAGAGAGAGAGAGGAGGCAGCAGAGCAGGAAGGAGGAAGACCACGGCAAGCAGCGCGCGGCAGCAGGGGGACGGGAGAGCCGCAAGCTGCAAGCCAAGTGAATGACTGAGAGGCGTTGGAAGCGCGGTGCCTCCTGCCCGCAGGAGAGCCACGGCGGCAACAGGCAGCCCAAGCTACCAAAACTAGCAGAATCCGAAATGACTCGCGGGAAGACCTAAGTGGAGAGACACGACGGAGGAGGGAGGACGACGAGGGGGAGAGAAAACTCGCGTTCGACAAGCCGGCTTCGAGCGTCGCCCGGCAGAACGAGCAGAAAGGCGAGATGAGCATGCACACCTGCGCCACTGTATCTCCCGACAAAATCCAATGCACAAAGATGGAAGCCAAGAGGAACCGGTCAGAAGGTCAACAAACATCGAAACAATACACCTTGGAGGCAGCTCCTACCAGCGGGCGATGGAAGCACGCTGAGAAAAACGAGCCCGCCCTTCCAGAGCGCCCGTCGCGTGTACGCGTGCAACTACAATCGCTCAGATCGACGGGGTCCACGGAGGGGCCGACGGAAGACAGAGGAGGGCAGGGAGGGACAGAGACAAAAACGCACCAACACCCCGTGCTCAGTCGTACAACGCCCGGCCAGAAACGCGACCTTCATGACGTCCTCGCCTAGCCGGCGTCCAGGGCGACGCAATCCGCTGCACCGCCAAATATGCAACGGCGGGGCTTGCTGCACAAGCCGGGGCGCTACCATGAGGTCGGGCACGTCCCACTCTACAGGGGGATGTCAGACGAAAAACAAGGTAGTCCAAAGAATGCGTAAACATATGCAAACATGGTCGAAAACATCGTCCCCAGACTATTTTTACGATTTTGGAAGAATCCCCACATAGAGGGACGTGCCCGACCTCATCCTGCCGTGAGAGTGGAGCTCTTCCCAAGGGGGGTCCGCGCGCCAGTCCTCTCCCTCGGGGGGGGGGGAGGGGGGCTGGTGCTGCCAGACGGCTGGAGTGTTGGGTCGGGCGCGTCCCCCTACACGCGGATTGTGGACGAACAATTAAACCAGTCAAACAAGATCCAAAAACATACAAAAAAAGCTCCGAGCATCGTCCCCAGACTATGTTTTGACTACTTTTGGATCTTCCTCCCGTAGAGGGACGGGCCCGACTCAAGGGTAGGAGGTGAAAGCTCACGTCGTGACAGCGGCTAGGATACTGCGCAATCCATCGAGTCTGTGACGCACAGAGTCCATGGCATAGGCGTCGCACCGAGACCGTAACACACGCGTGACTGCCCGCATCTCCACCCCCAGGAGATCAGCGACGTATCGCAGGAACCCGGAGTGGTGCTCAGCGCCATGCAGCTGGTGGCCGTCGTGCTTCTGGGCGTCGTATCACTGGAGGGCGCACTGAACAGTGTCCGGCTACTGGGATCTGCATTGCATCGCATTCCTGGATGCTGCAATCGCTATTGCTGCAGCTGGTGCTGGAGTCGCTGCGGATGTCGGTGCTGGCGTCGTTGCGGGTGTCGGCGCCGTCGTCGGAGCAAGATACGGGAATTCTGCAAGGTGGTTGCTTGGTCGTAGCGACGCCGCGTTGACGATCAGGACGATCGGAACCAGAGCATCGACAGAGATAAATCCTGTCGTGGAGTCGCGCGGCGCCGCGTGCAGGGAGAGTCGGCGTAGTGTCGAAGCGGTTCTGGTAGTGGCCGCCGTAACGGGAGTGGGAATGGGAGTGGTCGCCCGTCTGCCCACGAGCAAGGTGAGAGTTGTGCACGGGAGGTTCGCCGTTCGCAGTGCAGGCACCGAGGGCATGGTTCGGGGAATGCCAGCCCATCCTCGGATGAGGCCTACGTTCGTGTCAGCAGCGGCGGTGGAGGTCACTATGGGAGCGGAGCGGCTGGACCGAGGGCATGGTTCGGGGAATGCCAGCCCATCCTCGGATGAGGCCTACGTTCGTGTCAGAAGCGGCGGTGGGGGCCGCTGCGGGAGCGGAGCGGCTGAGCCCGTGGCGGCAGCAATGGTGACTATGGTAGTCTCAGTGAGAGCGGCCGTGGGGGGGGGAGGGGAAATGCGGAGGGGAAGGGTTCGGCCGGAGCCAGAGG